TTAAAATCATAATTATCATTGACACAAATTTGACTTGATCAAGTTACTATCGATATCCGATCAATATGATATTTCATAAAAATAAATTACTTAATAAACTCTACACATTAAATGGTTCAGATTATCGATATGAGTTTTACGATGAATCCACCGAAACCTAACAGCACACTCAAGTTTAATTTTGGATGGGAGAGATGTCACTGTGAAAAGAAAAAGTGCCTCCGGATTTACTTTTGCAACAACCAAGGCCAGTTTTTAAGCTATAATAAGCCAGGAAAGGAAATCAACCCCTAGAATTTTTTTTAGCAAATCTCTCTTTCTCTCTCTCAGTATTTGTGTAAGAGTGATGAAGATGGGTGTTTTTTTGGTCGGTGGGTCGTGTTGTACTGAGAGAATAAGTTATAGTGATCCCCAACCCAACATTGTCGATGCAAAAATGGGAGTTATCTGAAGAAGAATGATAAAGTGATAAAGAACATAAACACAAGAGGAAGAGGAACTCAGAAATATATATGATCAAGTTGATGCCACATGAACTCAAGGGGTTATTTCAAATCTTGAAATAATTAAAAATTTATGTGATCGTTAATTTTAAAATTTTAAAATCAATCGAGGTGAACATAAAGTATTCTGAATTCTCTCTTGTTAAAAAAAAAAAAAAATTATCCATGCCCACATGAGTAGGCGTGTAATGGGTCCCTCTGCTTCCAATGGCAGCTTTCGCTTTAAGGACGTCCTTGTATTTTATGTTATGCCACTCTCTCTCTCTCTCTGCTCTTTCTCTCTCTAGATTCTAAACCTAGTTTTTCTCAGCTACCACCACGTTCTTCCACATGTGCTCAATCATATTTGTGCCTGATTCTTGGTGATTTCTAGACCTGATTGAGTTGTAATAATTTGCGCATAAAGAAGAAGAAGGAAAAAAATACATAATGAGTAAAGTTATGATGAGCTTGCTCGCTCGCCCCCCCTCTCTCTCTCTCTCTCTCTAAGTTATTCGTTGCTTCTGATATATCTTAGTGGTCTAAGTATATTTTGATCGGTGAAAGAGATAGAATTCATAAATTTATATTAAATAATTAGAAAATAAAAGTAAACATAGAGATTTATGATTGATTTAGATTTATGATTAGCTTAGGATATGAGCACGTGATGTTTACAACTAACTAATAATTTTTGTCTCTCTCAGCCATTCTATTGTGTTGTTCGGATTTGGGACCGAGTTCTAAAAGATAACACATCGCTGGCAATGTGTAATTGGTAATCATGCTAGATAAGAATAATGATTAATTAATTAATCCAAAACTTACATCAAAAGTAAATTAATTAAGCCTAATTTAATTGATCATCATATTTTTTTAACGATTTAGTATCTTAAAGTTCTGGGATCAATTCTCTCTAGAAGAGTTAAATTAAGAGACAAGTACTTATTTACAAGGGTGAGAAGATTAACTTCTGCTAGTGCTAATCTAATCATTAATAATGGACTTTCGCCGATAAATATGAAAAATTAAAAAAAAAATTACATCAAACTACTGAATATGGAAGTGAAAAGAGTATCAACTTTAATAATTTGACAAGTGTGTGTTTGATTTTTTAAAAATTTTTGTACTACCAAATTTAAATTGATTAATGTAGTCCATGCTCTAACAAATTTAATATATTTTGCCATTCACTAAGTGTGGTAGGTTAATTTTTCAATTTTTGTACATGTATAAAATTTTAATTATAAAATCAGACACAACCTTGTTACATGCAGTAAGAGTCATTCATATAAATGAATTGTGTTTAATTATGTGATCAAAATCTGTACACTTAAAATTTTTCATAATTTTTTTCCCCCAAACAGCGGAGTTTGTGAATGGTGGCTTTTTTGCATGATTGTTGGTGTCCTTGGGGTAAGGGTGGTAATTGATTGAAGTTTTCATGTTCTTCCATTACATCACTCACCACCACATACAAACATAAATGGAAGCTTACGAGGTAAACCACTAAACTTCCATTAATTTGGATGCACATCATTGTTAATTTTACCGTTGATACTGTTGTTAAATTATATATTACTCTTGTAATACTGCCAAAGGCCCATATCTTTATATGGATGAATGAGAGAGTGAGAGAGGTTTGACCAGATTTGAAAGCATGGGGCACGTTGCTTTTTCAAAAGAGAGGAATACAAATGAGACTATTTTCCACAACTTTTAATTTAGCATAGATCAATGTTCCAATAGACTAATTCTTAAAAACTAATCAAACGTTTGTCTCAACTCAACTCAACTGGATTATGATTTTGTTTGGAGGTTTCCTTGGCAAGACCATATGTGGGATTTCAAAACAATTTTTTTTCTTTTTTCTTTTATTTTATAAACACACCAAAATTATAATACTAATGTTAAACTTATTAGCTTTTCATACACATTTGATATATCACTTTGTTTTTTTTTTAATAATTTGGTGTCTGGACCAGTTTTTGTGTATCTCGATTAATTTTGAAAACCAATCCCACCGCCCACTTGCGAAGACTCTATTTAAAGTATAGAAAATGTCCTGTATAGACTGATCCCAAAGAGCTTATTATAGCTAGCGAGTATTTGTACCTAAGATCTGGAAGGAACACACCTCAAAGTTGTGAGTATTTAATATATCTCTTCATGTGGCACAATCACAATTATTAATGAATTAAATATCACTTAAGTTGTATTAATTTGTGAGTTTTGCTATATCCCCCATTTCATTAATCCCTAACTATGTACGGATTGTATTTACAATTATTTGTATATATGTGAATAGTGATTTAAATTTTTTTTTTGGCACATAGAAAAAGGAGTATAATAAATGCAGCATATCTTTGATCAATTATTTTATGTTTGCTTTTATTCAAAATTTAAAAATAATGTACGGGAAAAATTTATAACTAAATTAAGGAAAAATTTATTCCTAACGACATTTTTTTACTTCTATATAAATACTTGAAAAAATAAACCTGAAAAAGGTAATCAATATAATATTATATATTAAGTAAAAAAATGTGATTAGCAATTATGCTTACATAAATTTACTATAGTTTTAATTTCTAATTTAAAAAAAAAAAGAAAGAAGAAGCTATTTTAAAAGCATTTTATTTAGCTAGTGCTAAATAGAATTTTCATAGGAAAAAAGAAAGTTATAAAATTTTGTTACAAATTTTCAAATGTCTATTGTTTAACATTTTATTCTGTTTGCTTATTTGTTTGCTTGCTTGCTTTGGGAGTTTTGATCTTTAATCTTTACTCCACATTCAACCTATTGTTTTATTTATTTTTCTTCTTCTTACTTGATTTTCGCATGATTTTTTTTCATAGTGCATATAGAAAAAAAAAAGTAAGTAATTGTTCAAAACTAAAACTACTTTAAGAAAAAATAAAAAATAAAAACAAAAATGAAATTGTTTGAAATAGAAAATGATTTATTTATTTATTTTTAAAAATAAACTTTTAAAGAAAATAAAGAAAACTATATAATAAAAAAAATACAGAAACCAAATATAAAATTTATTATAAAAAATAAATGAATTGTGGGATGTTCAAGAAGTGAGACTCACAAGCAAATTTTGTAATACTTGTCTATTTATATACTTTTTGTGTATATTTTTTTGTACTTCTAAACCAGAAAATGACATTGAAATAGTCTGCACTTCTTACATTGGGTTCATCTAATAAATTTTATAACACAAAACACAAATAATTGTGAGACAAAGTATCTAAAAAAAATGAAAGTAACGTTCAAAGATGATATAGAAACACACCTAACATTTTAATTACGAGTGTAACCAAATAAATTGCCACATAAGGCGAAGACAACCTTTATTTTTCATCACAATAATTACATAACTCAATATATAATTTTAATGTCTCTCACTCTTCCACACGTCCAATTCTCTATTAATATTAGAATGAATGCATGAACCAAAAAATGAGAACATTTGAAAAGACAAGCCTTTTTAATTCCTGAATTTTATTAACTAATAGTTATTAGGCTTCAATGGTCGGGTTTCCAATATTTGTTAGCCATTAAAGCTGAGTTATTTGGTTTCATCTATATTCACTTGATAATTTGAGAGTGGACATGTGTCAAGTTTTTACACAAACACTTAGCATATTTTTTTAGCATTATTAATAAAATGCATAGTGTAATTTTTTTTTTTATCTTTTTTTCTCGCAATTGCAAACTGTTGTTTTTTAATAAGAATTTATATTTGTTTTAGATATTTTTTTAATATATAAATTATTTTTTTTAGATTTTTTTTTATAAAAATAATTTAATAATTCCATCACTAACCATAGTGTATGGGAGAAGTTAAAAATGATGCGACAATAGGTATGGAAGAAGTCAAAAATACTTGTGAGTTGTGAGAAGTCAATAAATCACTACTACAAATATAGATAAAGATCACACTTTTTATCTTTTTTCTCGCAATTGCAAACTGTTGTTTTTTAATAAGAATTTATATTTGTTTTAGATATTTTTTTAATATATAAATTATTTTTTTAAGATTTTTTTTATAAAAATAATTTAACAATTCCATCACTAACTATAGTGTATGGGAGAAGTTAAAAATGATGCGACAATAGGTATGGAAGAAGTCAAAAATACTTGTGGGTTGTGAGAAGTCAGTGAATGCTGATTTTTTTCAATAAAAATAATTTGAAAATTAAGATTGAGATATTAAACTTCTACAAAATATATAGATTAAAAAAAAAGGTTGTGAGTTAGACATTCCCTTTTCTTTATATAATATATAGATTACACCTCTTATGAGGTGACAAACAATTTTGAAAGGAAATAAAAGAGTTTGAAAAAAAATTAATTGATTAGTATTATTTGCTACCCCATTAGAGGTACAATTGGGGGTGATGAACTCACTTCAAAAGACCTACTAAGTTAGCCATAAGCTTGCTGAGTGTCAGTGTGTGTGTGGATGAAGACTAAGAGAATAGGAATTGTCAAATTATTAGAAGAAAATGGAGGATGGAAATGGAGGATGGAAACCGGTGGTCAAGCAACGAAACCGAGTCTTTGGCCGGATGAAAGGAGGTAGAGACAGCTGGATCATAGTTTTTGTAGATAACCTACCTGACTCCATGGATCCAAAAGGCCTCTTCAGTTTGTTCAATAACTTTGGAGTTGTAAGGGATGTATTCATTCCAAACAAAACGCGAAGGATTTCTAGTACAAGGTTTGGTTTTGTGAGGTATGACTGCAGAGTAGCTGCCAATGTGGCAATCCAAAGAGCGAATGGGCTGTGGGTGGAGGACAGAGCTCTAAAGGTTAAGGAAACGGATTTTAACAGTGATCAACGCAGAGTGGTGTGTAGACGTCCCTGAACGCCCCGGGAGGAACGAGTCCCCCGTTCCGTTTGATATTGGGCTCACTATAGTTCAGGACTCTCAAATTGTCACGGTTCTTACTGCTTTTGTGGGTGGAAATGTACAAAATAACAGAGGAATGAGGAGAACGTTTGTAGAAGCTCTTACTGGGAATAGAGAGGAGGGCCAATCACGGTTAGTGGTGAAAGCTCGGGAGGCGGGAAATGCATGGCTGTATGAGAGTGTGATTATTAGATTACACCATCATGTTACAACGGCTGATTTCAAACATGACGCTCGAAGTAGGGGAGTAAAGAAAGGAAGACTTAGAGAGGGTGGAGGAAGGGATATTGTTATTACTTTTAGCTCAATCGAGGAGAAAGAAGAGGGTGTAAGACTAATGCAAGGCTGGATGGTGGAGAGGGGAGAATTTGTTCGGGATTGGAAAGTCAGATTGCATATTGAGCAAGAGAGAAGCACTTGGCTCTCATGCTATGGAGTTCCTCTGAACCTGTGGAGTGCAGAAACTTTTACTTCTATTGGAAGGCTCTGGGGGGAAGTGGTAGGGCTGGATGAAGATATTGGGGACCCGTTGTTGTTCGTCTGCAGTAAAATTAGGATTGTTACAAAATGTATGGTGGCCATCAATGTCGTGATTAGTCTCGAATCCGGCAGCGGTGTGTACCCAGTGCGAATCTGTGAAGAGCAATTGGTATTTTCTAGCTGCAGGCATTTGGATAGTCACACTTCAGATGAGTTACATGGCTCCGGTGGACATAGTGATGGAGTTTCAGTCTCTGCCCATGGCTGGGTGGAAGGTGAAGCTGAGGTGGCACCAAATCAGGAGGGTGCCGTGGACATACTAGCTGATGTGGATAAGGATCAACGGGTTAGTTCAACTGAAGTGGAAAGTGGAAAGTGGAGGAAGTTTGAGCTGGCAACATGCATCGGTTGTAGCTGAGACTGTGGAAAGCCTTGGAAATTCAAATTCAAATTCAAATTCAAATGCAGGCTCCGACAAGATGGTTATACCAGAGTTGTCATCTGCGCAGAAGTGTAATGATGATTCTGGTGTGAGGCTCGATGGGCAATTGGATGGACATGTGGCTACCTCTGGATATATGAAGAGCTTGAGTGGACCGGTTGAGAGCTGGCCTGAAGTCCATCTTGATGTGTGTTTCTCCCAGGCCTAGTTGGGAGAATTGGTGCTTGGTGGGCCGAGAAGGCCATATCCTAGTCAGGGTATTAGGTATGGTTTAGTGGGCTAGAATTTTAGCCATCCAATGGCTTTGGATCTGGAAAGTAACAGTAAGGAGTTGGATAAGGGCCCTTCTAAACAACTTATGAACGCTGCTACTTCAGTTCGTAAGAAAGCTCGGCATAGAAATAGAAGTTGGAAGCTACCATTTTCTGCACGGAGAAGAGGGCACAGTGAGGCAGTAGCAAGACGAAACTCTCAAAAGGAGGCTTTGTTCAGATCGGCTTCAGTAGCTTTGTCCAGATCTCTAGCTAACCGAAATAATAGCAGGTCTCGAGGTAGTGCTCCGATTTTAAATGAAGCTCAGGCAACACTGTGCATGGGTAAATTACTTGGGGTGGAGTTTGGGAAAGATGAAGCAAGAATTGTTAACAGTATCGTGCAGCTGGAACAGCAAGACAAAGAAAAAGCCGGGGTTAGAATTGGTTCACCGAGATAAACCAGTCCGCAGGTGCGCTCAAAGTGTGGATAGCAGTTTAAATGAAGATACTATCGTGGAGTATAAGAGGTTTGGGTCGGCCAGAAAAGAGGGGCAAAATCAAGAAATTAATAAAGGAGAGGAAAATTGGAATGCTTTTTGTGCAAGAATCAAAAAGAGTATTGCTATCAGAATGGGATATTCGATCTATTTGGGGATGTACCCGGTTTGAATATATGGAGGTTGGATCACAAGGAAGTTCAGGTGGCATAATCTGTGTTTGGGATCCTGAGTTCTTTCAATTAAAGGAGTGCTGTGGCAGTAGGAATTTCCTGCTTTTGCAAGGTACTATCTATCATTCCTTTGATTGTGTTTTGTTGAATGTGTATGCTCCTACTGATGTAAGTAAGAGGGGGAGGTTGTGGGAAATTATTAAACAACTTAGAAGTAAATTTCTTAGCCCGTGGTGTCTGGGGGAGGGGGGATTTCAATGAAATCAGGCTGATTAGTGAGCGTATAGGTGTGTCAAGAAGGGATAGGGGTATGAGAGAGTTCAACGACTTTGTTGACTCCTGTGAGCTCACAAACATTCCAATGGTTGGAAGAAAATTTACATGGTGTAATAATCAGGAGGGTGCGAGATGGAGTCGAATCGACAGGTTTTTGTTGGACCCAGAGTGGTTGGAAAACTTCAATATCAAACTGTGGGGATTGCCTAAAATTGTTTCTGACCATTGCCCAATTTTGCTTATGGAGGATAAAAGGGATTGGGGTCCTAAACCATTCAGATTTTTAAATGCCTGGCTTCTCCATCCTTCATTCTCTAAAGTGGTAAGGGAGGCCTGGGAAGAGTCACAGATTACTGGGTGGGGTGGTTTTGTTATGCACAAAAAACTCCAGCTACTTAAACAAGTTTTGAAGCGATGGAACAGTGAAGTGTTTGGAGCAATATCTGTGAAATTACATCGTGCAGAGGAGTGTAGACGTCCCCCGAACGCCCCGGGAGGGTTAGGTCCCGTTCTGTTCATTTGGGGTTACTACAGCTCGGACTCTTAAATGTCACGGTTCCTAATCTGAACCAAAGAGTCCAAATCCGGCAAATCATTTTGAGAAACAGATTTTTGAAAAAGTAGTGCCAAACATGGACTGCTTTGCCAGATACAGAGTCGCCACCTAAATATTTTATTTTGGGAAATTTAGGAAACCCTGACTCGGTGCCAAAAGGCCACGTGTCCGTCATCACCAAAGTTGCCTCGGCTCGGGAACTTGGGTACGTATAATTAAAGACTTAGTGTATTACTCATCAAATTGAATAGGAGTAAGAGAGAAGTGTACTGGACTTGTTGAACCTAGGTATATACACATAGAGTGAAAGGGAAAGACCTTGAGAAATAGAGCTCAAGAAGGAGAAAGAAGATAGAAGAAGAGGAAGTGAAAAGGCAACTTGAATTGTTCATAAATTTAACAACTTAAGGTGAGAATTTGCCTTTAATTTCATGAAATTGAGATGTCATGGTTATCATCCTTTGGACATTGAGTTGAAATATAAAGGATATCATGCATACTTATGAGTTTAGTAGTGTAAATTGATGATAGGAACTCATATGGACAAATAAAGAAGGAATTGTAGAAATTTAGCTCAAGACCAACATGCATGGCATGATTCATGATATTTTGTTTATAGACATATTTTCTTGCATGATTTTCATGAGTTCTACAAGTTTCAAAGAACTATCCTCATTGATGTTGGAATTGGAAGTTTAAAATGCTTTTATAATGTCTCGGAGTCTTTGAGCAACTAAATTGGAAGAATTAGCTCAAACTATGGACATGCATGATTTTATTTTTAATCATACACACCATTCTTGCATGAGTTTTCAAGATTGAAGGGACATTCCATGAGATTTGAGGATTTGGAGCACAAAAAAATGCAAGTTTAAAGAATTTTTATGTCAACTCAAATAACTTGATCATGGCATGGAAATTGAGCTTTGTTATTGGAAGACATACATCACACTCACGCACACTTATTACAATTATGCCCTCGCGCAGAGGGTCCGAATAAATAATACAGTCCCAAATGAAAGAATATTACAGTCCGAAATATTACAGAAAATCCTAATTAATTAATGAATTAACTAAGAAATCAAATAAAACTGTCGTGCAAGCCAGGGACCGCCTTGCTTCTGATGGATGATGCATGTCCGGATCGTCTTGCGCGGAAATCCACCGGAATGCCCCAATTAGCCTTTGTTTACACCTGTTCTTGAAATGCGCGCCAAGCCCCAAAAAGTTGTTGATTCCTGATTTTGCTGCAACAGAGAGCAGGAAATGGGCATAGCAATGTATTTGCACAGATATATGCATGTCTCGAATCTCGTGCCACCAATTACGCATACCGAGGCATGATGGCCGAGGAGTCGAAATGCACAACTCAATATAGAATGAATGCACATGAAACTACAGCTAAAACCTAACTCCATCATGGATAACCCGGAATGTCGGTGACTGGGGAATTGAGACACATTCCGTCACTCGGAGTACGAAATGTACCTCGTTTCCCGTGCCCGGGCTAACTCCTATTCCGGACACAATGCAATATGCATGACATGCATGAAATGCAACTAAGATACAATCCTAACATACACAATGATATGAAAATGAGGTGCCTCGAAATGCGTGCACTCAGGCATGCAAACTGAGAAAATGACATGTGTCTCGAAATACGTGCATGCGGGCACGCAAACCGAGGCGATGATAAGTGTCTCGAAATACGTGCATACGGGCACGCAAACCGAGGCGATGATATGTGTTTTGAAATACGTGCACGCGGGCACGCAAACCGAGGCGATGATATGTGTCTCGAAATGCGTACACGCGGGCACGCAAACCGAGACGATGATAGAATGCAATGAAATGGTATGCCTCGAAGATAGTGCACACGGGCACGCAAATCGAGGCGATGATAAATGCACTGAAAATGAGATGCCTCGCAGTGCGTGCACACGGGCACGCAAACCGAGACGATGCTAAAACGATGCGAATGACATGGAAAATGACAAATGGACTTATACTAACATGAGTGAGCCTCAGCCGCACTCGGATAAGATGCCGATGGCAGAAAATGAAGTGCCTCGAAATGCGTGCACACGGGCACGCAAACCGAGACGATGACGGAATGCGATGAAATGATATGAAAATGGCATCAAACTGAAAAATTTCTTTCAATTTTGATGAAGATGGACCAAAAATATGAACATTTACAGTATATGGCAGCCTCAAAATCAGTATACAAATATGCTAAAAGTGTGATGCAAAGCAAGGCTTAAAAGGTGCTATAAC